CTGATGATGATGATGATGATATTGCCAAGTTTACTCGGTCCCTGTTATTTCGATAGTGTCTGCTGCTCTGCAATTCCATTTAAATTATAAAGTTAACAGTAAAGTTAATGATAATGGAGGATCCACTTTGCTTTACCTCTGCACGACAAATGTGATGAAAGGAATGCAATTTTGGGGGGAGGAATTCAAGTGCAAATTACCTTTTTTGACCAAATTAGGTTTCAAAAATTATGGATTGCCTACAATAATAATAGAATAGTGGGAAAAGCAATTCGGATTTGTTCTCTCTTTGAGGGAATGCAATTTGGCCGTCCATTAATCTCCCTTTGAAAGGAGTAATCAGGTCGCATCGCAGTTTCAGGACGAGTGTAATAATAATGCAGTCGAGATTCACGAAACATGGTCGTCATCCTCCCAGCCCCAGAGATGCTCCACGCACAGAGGGAACAGCGACGGATGATCCATTATTTGATGGAAAAGGACCAAATGAAATCCAATAATATTACGAAAGCAAATTCTACCCTCCATGCTTTTTTTCGCTCCCAATGGTTTTCACATCTTGTCGAATATTATTGTGCGGTGAACTTGTGGTGGTTGACCGGTTCCTCTCTCGCGTTTCCAACAATAGCATCGTTGCCATTATGACTGGTTACTGCCCAAGAGTGTAACAATATTGAGGCAGAAAAGATAGAGCAGCATCTCCTCAACTTCTTGTAACGTATGCGGTGTGTGTAACTCCCACCAAACATCCTTCCGTAGAATGGGACGCTTACGAAAACCGCTTTTGTTCGACATCCGTTACGCTTCCCAGACTGTTTAGCTTTCAGGTTGGTAACTCAACGTTGCACACCTTCATTTCATCGCTTCTCTCCTTCACTCGCCCAATTTTCAGTTTTTTGAGAGGGAACTTTTCCAAGTCAGTAGATGTTGAAGGGAGAGTGGAAAGTATAAAATCACTGTAAATCAAAGCGAGAGGTAGACAGCAGCAGGTAGATTATTATTTCCTATAGAGGACCATGAACCAAAGACGTCCGTGTAGACTCACTCAGCTACATGATGATGAGCCAGGTGGATAAAATTAAAGCGTGGAGGAGCAAATAAGAAGAAGCAACTGAATAGTAACCAACTGTACGTTCTTCCTTATGGATGCTAAACCTTGGCAAAAACACCGTGAAGTAAAGTAGCAAAATGTAACGCTCCTCAATACGTATCTCGACCAAGTGTAAGTTTAACTGCTACTGCCTATCCTACGACTTGCTTAATACCACTCGGAGGAGGAGGAGGAATTCTTTTTCGCAAAATAGCCCTGCGGCCAGCCCAACCAGTCCGCAACGAATGACGTCGCAACAAACAACACCCTCCTCGGACATTTACCCTTTCCTGTTCTCAAAAATCTTGGGCTCATCTCCGCCGTGCTCCTTAATGAGCTCAAGTCGAGAAGGAGAAGACTTTTTTTGAGGCGTTTTCACTCTGAAATGAAGAGCCAAAGAATGAGCTTAATTTTAGCAATTTCCAATTTTGAAAAATGCTGCTGGTGGGAGGTACGCGACGACGGCTTATCTCGTCAACTCAGCTGCACCCTCCAGTCTCTAATAATCTAATTCTACATTATGCCTCCCGTGTGCGGGGCAGCCAACAACGAGGAGGGCTAAAAAGCAACCCTCTCTTATTTTCCATATAGATACTTGTACAAATACTGGTAAATTGGTTTCGCTGTGTTTGTGAGCCCATTAGTCAATGGACTTATTACAGGAAACGTTGACATATGGAAGTGCGTGGTTAAGAGTGGGTCTATTTTTAGCCTTAAAGAATTGTTGGTGGTGGTGAGAGAGGAAGAAGTGCAGATATTTCCCGTTATGCTACAGGAGATGATACTGCAAGACGTCTCCTTGTGACCACCATCATCATCATAATGCTAATGGGTGTCCTTTTACTTGCATACTCGTAGGACAAGGAGGAACGGTTGAGATTCTTCGACGACGACGACGACGAGCAGCACTTGGCTGTGTGAAGACAAAGCGGAAACAGTTACTTTCTTGGAATGAATTCGTTTATAAATAATTCTAAACGCGTTGTATGCATGGGTGGCGATTAAAGCATAAATTTTATACCAAATAAAGTCTATGGAACTTCATGAACCCCAGTCACATGACACTTTATGTGTGCCCACATACATGAATCCACTCCACGAAGCCCTGCACTGCAGAGTTAATTGGCAAGTGGTATGAAATCTGAAACATTCCAATTTATCAGCACGTATGCATTGTTCAAGGTTCATCACTTTGATGGGCTGGGGGAACAAGTGATGCAATTATTAAAGCATTTCACACAGACAATGACAAAGCGAGGAGGAGGGTCTCCTTCCATCTCTCTCTGTCACCAGCCTCAAAGCATCCAATAATCCTCTTGCAACTCTAAAAATTGGAAATCTGGTCAAAACTTGACTGCATCACAATTTACACGTTTCCTAAAATAAAAAAAAGATTTAAAATTTCATCAATCCAATTTTTCCACGCAGACTTTGCTCTTAATAAAAATAATAAAAAAGTTTCTTCTCTCTGGATCAAGTTCAAAACTTTATGCACTTCCTTTGCGTGAGTTTCTCCACTCAAACTGCTGCCGTCTTTGGTGTAAGAAGGGAAGAAATATGTATAACGAGGAGATAATAAACTAAGCTGAAGGATGGGAATTGAAACTTGAGCCTGATGTTAGTACATGGTTTGGAGCAAGTACGGATGAGGATGCCATGTCTTTTCACTTACCTTCGTCTCATTCTCTTCTTCGTCTTCAAAAGTTACACAAGTTCCTGGCGTGGAAGAAGCGTTTCCTCCACTGGAGTGGACTCGTATGTATTCACTTTTGACTGCTATCTCCTCAGTCGAATAAGTGGCTCCAGTTTCGATCCGTTCTCCCAACAGCGTTTATCTAATTTTGATGGATAGGTTTGCTTTGCTTGCCCCTCTCTCCAACCAAATACCTCCATCCCGTCCTAATAAATTACAGCACTTTTATTGTTATTAGTACACGCTCGGAATGGACATGGCCCACTTCATTTCTCAGGATTACTTCATTTATGTGTGGGACTGCATCTTCCTTCAGAGCCTTTTTCTGCATTTCATTTAAGACACATTTTATTCTTGGCTTGATTCAACGGGATCTCGAGCTCATTGTGAATTTATACTTTTTGTGTGAGTACATACATAATTTAGGAACATCGGGACCAAAGTTTGTGGTGCTTTATATTTATTGCCTACTTAATGCAAGTATTTTATGGTTCCTGTTCCCAACTCTTGTGGTCCTTCATGTGTGAACTCTTTTGTAAAAGATGAGCCCATGTAATGATGTGATGTCGGTAATACAGCGTAATCCCAGCAGAGTATATCTCGAATATCCACCACGGCCATTATTGCATTATTGCGTTACACATTGAGTTCCCGTAACAAACAATTCGGTGGTGGTGTCACTGGTGGCGATGGTTTATTGCATGTTTGCTGGTGTGACACAACAAAACACATTGTGTAAAGAAATCTGTGCTTTGGAGACTGACACAGACATCATCGACCTCAACGAAGCCAAAGTCTTCAACTCGAACTGACTCTCATCCAACATGCAGCATGGATGGATGGCATTAAAAAGCACAATGTATCTAATAGCTCACTTACTTTTATCTCTCGTTATTCTCCACTCTCACCCTTTGTACGAACCACTCATACTCGCATTCAAAAGGACGATTTGGAAATATTTATAACTTTTTCGAATTGGATCCATCTCTTCTTTATCACCTTAATTTTGGACCTTTTAAAGCGTTTAAAATAAATGTCCCCGGCTATCGTCTCGACTTATGGGAATTCCTCGTCTTGGTCCTTGTGGGATACTGTGTGTGTGTACTTACATATGCACGAGTAGGATGCGGATAGCCGAGAAGTTGAAGATGGACCTTAAAGTGTGTCTTTTAAAGGTTGGCTGGACGCGTATTCTTCTTGGCTCGAATGCTAATCTACTCATGAATTTCGTGGTCACGGTCACCACCACGCAGGGAGCGAGTGGGAAGAAGAAGAGTTGGACTTTAAACCCTAAATCTTGATGTATCGACCCAATCCAGTCATTCAAATATTTTTCTTTATTCCTCAGACTCCAGCAGCCAACCCACATCGCGTCTACGTACTCCTCTCCGAAATCCTAAGCCATTTAAAGGCCAAGGTCTCCATGCTCCTTGTTGACTCTGCTTGGTTGCGTAATCTTCATTTGTTCCGTTTCTCCTCAGAAAAGATTAGCAGGTCTCCGCTTCCACAGATTCGTCAGAGAACTTTGAGAAAAAGGGGACATTGTAACAAACTTGAGGTACTTGCAATGCCTCCATCCCGCACGTAATAAGGAAAAAGTTTGGTTCGTTTGAGGGTGACTTTCGTCGTTGACTCGAGTAAATAATAATGCCGAGAAGGGCTGATAAGGCAGGAAGTCTGGGGAATGTTCATTTCCAAACTTTGCTTGCTCTCCCATGTATCAACACGAAGTGTGAGGCGGACGAAGGAGAGCACATTTCATGGTGGTGGTAATTATCAGCCTGACATTGTTTCTCATCTCAAATTATAAGTGATGAGCTATTATTTCACGCCATGAATGTGATGAGTCAGTCATGTGCAATGCTTACACGAAAACCAACTTGCATGGGCCACATCGGAGTTCACAGAATTCTTCTATGCTTCTAATTCCTGATTCACTTGGAGTCTTGAGGATCATGAGCAATCGTTGGTCATTTCTTCATGACCAACTTGAGGCACTAATCATCATCTTCTTCACACAACTTCCGAGAAGAATGTGCAATCATGAGATTCTAGTTTGAAGGCATTTGAATTATTTAATGAGATGACGAATTAAACGTGTCAACGAGGCAGGATATTTAGCCTACTGTTTGCCTTACTGCCTTATTATTAGCTGCTCATACTTTGATCAGGAATGACAATTTTACTAAATATTATTCCTTTTTCATTTTATTGCAGAATCAGATCATATTTCCCGAAGCGTTTGGAATAATCGGATTCCTGTCACGGTAATTCATTTTAACTTTGTATGTAAACAAGCTCATAAAAATGGTGAACGCGGCGATGGTCGACAGCGAATGATGTCATTTTTAGCCCGAACCAGGGCTTATGTAATCGTCATGTCCGTCCGTCTGTCCGTCCGTCTGTCTTTCGATAACTTTCGAACGAGTTGACCGATTTGGACCAAATTTGGTACAGACATGTATCTGGGCAATGCAACGACCGAGTTCGAAGATGGGTTCGATCAGAAAAGTTTTGGACCGGTGGGGGTCATCGGAGTGGGTGGGGTATTATGCACCAAAATTTCAAAATTGTGTTAGAAAGCTGAAATTTGGCATAGAGGTTGCTAATGGCTCATAATGAAAGAATATGAAGTTAAATTGGGAAATTTTTTCAACCGGAGGTACCCGAAGGGGTGACCCATACCGATTTTTCAAAATCATCCAATCGAGCTGAAATTTGGTATAGAGGCTGCTAAAGGCCCCTAATGGAAGAATATGAAGTCAAATTGGTAAAATTTTCATATCCGGAACCCGTTGGGGTGACCCATACCGATTTTCATAACTTGTCCCAAAAAACTGAAATTCGGAACGGTGATACTTAATGGCTTCGCATGAAATTATATGAAGTCAAAGATAAACAAAAAGTAACCAGAGGGGCACTAAGGGGTACCCATACCGATTTCTAAGAGTTTATATATTTAGCTAAAAATTTAGCGTGGAGTCGAAAAAATAACTTAGGATTAGAGTTTTGGAGGGTTGAATTTTGAAATTTTATAATTGAAAATTCTGACAAAAGTGAGTTTACTAATCAACCCTGGTTCGGGCTAAGCAAAGCTGTACTGATAGGTTTTCCTTACTCTATTTTCCCATCCTCTAATTCGCACGCAGTACTCTTCTGACTGAATGGTCAGACTGGTTCAGTTGGGGAGATGACATGTGCTAGATAAGTGAAGGGAGGGAGGGTTGCCACCTAGCCCAGCAAGAAATCCCGACCATTCTATCTCCCCAACAGCCCACCCCTCTCTCGCAGTGCTTATTATTCCGTCTACCATTTTCGCAGCTGGATGGACATAAATGTCGAAATGGGCAGAGAAATCTGAGATGCATAGCAAATTTTTAGGGATTCTGATTCCACTTATCGGATTATCTTCTTGGTTAGCTTTATCCGAAAACTTGCTCATACGTACGTACGTACGTATCGTGTTTCGATTTGCTTCACACAAGAAAATGAGACGATAAATAAGCTGGAGATGAAGTGCGAATTCTGATGCTCCACCAACCACATTCTGCTCTCTGCAGCATAATTTGTCATGTGCATGCACATACCACACCACATGCCTTCCTTCCATGCCGTGGTTTGGTTTTAAACATGCAAAATTTGTGCACCACAATTCTTAACGTGGCATGTCTAAGCGGACAGGGTACCACCCGACCGACACGTTAATGATACAGATGATGATGATGCCTCAAGGAATTTGAGCAGAAAAAATTTGAGATGCTTGCACATTTCCTTTACGTCCTCGCACAACAACAGCCCTCATTTTCTCACGAGGAGCAATGAGTAGTTAAAAAACAGCCTTGTCCATTAGTCTTAAAGTTGTCTATCTGCATGCATATCTTTCTCTCCTTCTCGAAATTAATTTCTGCTGGCGTAGGCATCATTTATTTACACTTTGAACATTCGAGTCGTCTGACTGAATATCTGGCTGGAATTTGCAAGGGAACAAAAGTGGGATGTTTATGGGAGAGTGGATGGAATTTGGTGACGAAGTTGAGAATGAGGGTGAAGTGAGACGAAATGGGAAAAGATGATTAAAAGGCAGGGTTGGAGGGGTAGCGCAGGGGACACGAAGAGATGGATTGAATTCTTGAGCCTCAAAGTTTCTCACAATAATTCTCTGGGCATTGAAGATGTTCCCCGACCATAAATTATCCTCCAGGCAGCCAAAGACCCAGCAGAAGCAGTGGACTCCTTTTCTTGGGAATTTTTAGAGCTGCTGAGCTACTGGAGATGGATCGGAAGACATTCAATTCAATTCAGTTCACACCCCTTCGCATTCGTACTTGGTTCGTGGTGCCTCATGCTCCTCGGATGACTCCTTCCGACGATGATGCATTACCAAATATTACGATACCACATATGCAGCGTACGTGGTGCGTAGTATTTTTATTCGGCGTCATGGAATGCAGTCGGGTCGGTTGGGGTTGAGAGGAGTGTGAGATTACAAATCCAAATATTCCTGCATTTTCTGAGCCGATTGTCAATTGTCGCTCGTTACACATAGCACAGGGACTCGACTCTGTGGAGACAATCTACATCTTTGTAGAGAATGGTGTATGGTGTCAGGGAGGAAGATGTGTTGGCTGGCTCAAGTTTTCAATGGATGAGAGTGTCAAATTTTCATACAGATTTCCCCATTTTCAGATTTTGTATCATTGTGCAACGCTGGAATTTGTGATTGGGTGGGGGCGATGGCACAATAGATAGCTCCTCAGTCACTCAGACTGCATCTCCGCACACACAAAAGTCAGAGTTATTGCTGGCATTATTCTCATATTTAAAATTCATGCTGATCCATCTTGCGTTGCGTGTAGTTGCCAGTATTCATTGAGTGGGAGACATGGAGTACATTAAAATGAGTCGTTAAAAATGAATTGCATAAATTCCAATGAAAAATCAAGTTTCCTGTGGAGCCCTTTTGAAAATGCTACGAACTAGCTCCACCCGCCAAACATTGGCACAAAATTTTCCGCGTAAACCTGCAGAAGATATCTCTTCGACAGACTCGATGCGTCTTTCTTGGAGCAGTAAAGATGAGCCAAGCAGTTGGCACATGTTGGATTTTTTGACGTGGAATGCGTTTCCTTCTGAGCGTAATGATCTCCATCGTGGCGTTGGGTTGCGTTGAGAGGAAAATATGAAGCAAGGATATTGCTCAGCCCAGCGGGAGAAAGCACTGGCTCTCCGCCTAATGTTTCAAGTTCAAGGATCAACCAGGGTGGCACGCTACGAGACTTTTCGGGGCTTTCGGGGTCGTTTGCACTCGTTATTTACCATTTGCATTGGAGCCTCTCTCTGGTAGAACGTGCACCATTTGCGGCCAGGTGCTGCATTTGGACAGGGTTGCATTTGTTTGTGTTTGCGGTGCGACGTTGCACGTGCATTTCACTCCATGATACGTATCCTTCGCATCTTGAGCATCGTCAATGTTTAATGAGGTTTTGGCAGCGCAACTTTAAAAATTTACAACTCGCTCCCTGCAATCCTTTCAGCGTGAAGATGTTTTCCAGGCAGTACATCTTGAGCAAAATGCAGATGCTTTCTCTAAAAGCCATATAAATACCAACATGGATCTACACATGTACATGCTTAAAGAAGGAGAAGTAGATTACGCGTGGAGGAGTAATATGCGGCGTAAACCTTTCAGGAGGAATACTCAACATGGTGAATAATTTAAATTTGGCATGAGTAATTTGAGCGAGATGGAGATTCGTTGACAATAAAAAGCCTCGACTCGAGTTTGAAATTGCAGTGTCGTCCATTCTCCGTCTGCTACTTGGGCAATAATGAATCTTTTATTTCCTCCTTGGGTGGAAACCCAACGTGGGATGTGCGTGCGTGTACATTATTGTGTGCTGAGAGGAGGAGGAGATGAGTGCCTCCAGTGTCACGGGCACAGCGACCAAGTGCTAATATCTGCAGTGGGACGACCACGTACATGAGTCCCGTCGCCTTGTTTGCTAGACCCGAGTGGAGATTTTATTCCCTCATATTTTACTTTTAAGTGCACCTCCAAGGACTACCTACAGACTTTTCCCAGTTTAAATAAATGCCTTCCCAGTACTTTCGCCAAAAACTATTTTCCTTCCGCCACCAGCGAGAAAACCATCACTCTTCCTTCTCCTCCAAACCGGTCGCTCCTCGTGGCGGCATCCGTCTCGCCCATTGCAAAGTTTTAGCACGGGAATTTCCAAGACTTTCATGCGAGCTCTTTCCCCAGAACTAGCCCAAGATCAGCAAGAATATTATCAACCCTCCGCCCTCCCATTCCTCTCCCCATCGTCTCAGTTTCCCAAATTGTAAATCTTTCGCTCGTGTATTGATCCTCGTCCCCACAACTGCTCACCCACCCCACTCCACGACGTCCATACACTGTGGTCTGCTGTGTGGTGAGGTGGTGGTCGTCGCAGAGAAATGGGGAGGAACAGGCAAAGAAGTTTCATTCCGGCAGCAGAACATGGACTTTCTTGTAAACTTTCGTATTTCACTTTCTTCTTAATTCAAATAGAAGATGACAAGAGTTCAAATTAAATGAAAATCTACCACAACGTCCCCACACCACCAGCATGGGCAGGGCAAAGAGAGAGAAAGCGTATATACATACTTGAATCCGCATGTTTCATATAAATCATACATACGTACGTACAACATGCTAGTTTCGTGTAAAGTTAGCCACGGGCCGGCGCTCGTGCACACGCCGAACGTAACAAAGACGTCAAAAACTGCAACATGTTCCGAGAGAACAAATGTCGCCGTCCAAAAAACATCACATTTGAAATGTAAGTTATTTGATGGGAGAGAATGCAAGTATAAAAGTGCGTGATGAGTTGGCATGAGTTGGCCAAGGGTGAGTGCACCATCAACCACCGCATGGGATTTCCCCAGCCCAATGTCTAGACCAATATCACCCGCACTATTCACCCTGGTCCTGATTTTCCGTGGGAGAGATAGATACCCGGCTTCCTCCCCACTCACTTTTACTCACTCCAGACTCCACTGCCGGCTGGTGAAAGTAGTCAAGTTCTGGTCGTGGTCTATCTTTCGCATGCTCTCTCTCTCTCCCTCTCGACTGAATTCCGTCCAAGCAACCCGATACCCGGCTCTCTCCACCCTCCGCTCATCCCGTGCATGTGTGTGCATCAAAGGAGGCAAGTTCAATGCCATGCCGTCATTACGTAACTCATGAAACGCACTCCTCCACGCATTCGTGAAGAGGAGAAAGCAA